AATAAAAATAAATAAAAATAAATAAAATAAAAAGAGAATTAAATTTAGTGAGTGCACGAGCATAGCTAAAAATGCCCTGAAAATTTACAGATGTGTACTTCACGTAATACAAAACCCACTAAAAATGTTTCAAAAAAGTAATAAAATTGTTTAGACCACGAGCTAAAGTGAAAACAGAAAGTAAAAAATGACACGTTTTGACACCGCCATCTTTGGCGATTTTTAATTCTTATTTGGCTCAGCCAAATGACTTGAAAATTTACAGGCATGTACCTCACGTCATAGAGAACTCACAAAAAAAACTTCAGAAAAAAATCATTATTTTTAGGCATGAAAAATAATTTTTGGCGGGGGCCGAACGCCGTCGGGTTCGGATCCTGTTCGGGACCCCGAACGCCCGTACGTACAGAGGTCTGCCTGGGGACCTCCGTATGTACGGGCTGGTGACCCTGCTTGGAATAATAATACCACACTTTTAATAGGAGTTGCTTCTTTAGTACTAAAAGCACTCCTGCCGAAGTTACGGAGTCATTTTGCCGAGTTCCTTGCTCGGCGGAGAATGAGTCTCGTGTGTATCCTTCTTCGGTATATACTTTTCCTCCTTTTTTTTTCCCTTCGTATCGAGCTAGGTGCCAGTGGCTCGTTCTTCTTATTCTTCTGCGTTTTGTTTTTCCTTCTTTTTTGGGGGGATGTCCTTTGTCCCTGTGAATATAAATAAATGCGTTCATTTCCACCATGTCTTTTCATTTCTCTATGGTAGGACCTTTTTTGTTTGCCGCCTCCTTGAGCTGACCGCCCCACGGTAAAAAGAAATAAATTCAGAATTATTTTATTGTTTTATTCTGTCCATCTGATGGCGTGTGGATTTGAACATGGGTCCGTTTCTCAACAGTTGATGGGTGTACCAACTGAGCTAGGCCTGTTTTTTTTATTTTTATTTTTATTTTTTTCAGGATTTGGACGACGCGCCCACGGTAGAAGAGGAAAGAAGACAGACGCGGCCTCATTCTACCAGTCACTTTGAGATTGAATCTTCTTCAAGAACATTGAAAAAGATGCACCCCCTTAATTCTCGTCTTGTGTGCATGACGTGGTGAGTGGTGGGGCGAGGGCCCTTTTCTCTGTTGCGTTTTTTTTTTTTTTCCCCCTGGGGGCAGTATGTTTTGGGCGGCGGGGGGATTGTGAGTAGTCTCGCGACTCTCGCCATTTTATTATTATTATTATTTTTTTAAGGAGGCCACATGCTAATCTTCTCTGATCGTTCCAATTTTAACGGATCGCCAAATATTCGTTCGTTGTTCTTTGTTTCTTTTTTCCCTTTGTTGTTTTTTTTTGTTTTTTTTTGCGGGGGGGGGGAGGACGGGGGTTCTTTCTTTTTTTATTTTTAATAATGGGCGACGGCCTTGAGATATCGTCATTGAGCAATTCAAAAATATTGTTCCATGACTTTCACT